ATAGTTATTTTTTTTAACCTGATCCCTAATTTGATTCCTCTACATTCTTCCTGTAAGTGAGACCATTCGATGTTTTTGTTTTTTTTCTTTCTGGCTTATTTCGCTGAGCATAATCTCTTCCAACTCCATCCATGTTGCTGCAAAGAACATACGTTCATCCTTTTGATTGCTAAGTAATATTCCACGGTGTAAGTATACCACAACTTCTTGATCCAATCATCTATTTTTGGGTAGTTGGTTGCTTCCATACCTTACCTATTGTAAATTGTATTGCAGTAAACATGGAGGTGCAGGTGACCTTTTGAATTAATGTTTTTGTATCCTTTGGGTAGATTCCTAGGAATGGAATTGTTTAATCATATGGAAGCTATTTTTAGTAGTTTGAGGGACCTCCATATAGCTTTCCATAGTGGTTGGGCCAGTTTGCATTCCTGCCAGCAGGGTAGGAGAATTTCTCTTTCACCACATCCTCACCAGCATTTGTTGTTGCTAGTTTTTGGGTTTTTTTGTTTGTTTGTTTGTTTGTTTTTTAAATATGTGCCATTTTCACTGGTGTAAGTTGGTATCTCTTTCAGGTTTTGATTTGCATTTCCCTGATTGCAAGTGATGTTTAACATTTTTTCATATGCCTGTTGGCCATTGGCATTTTTTTTCTTTTGGAAAGTATCTTTTTAGCTCTTCTGCCCTTTTTTTTTTGACTGCGTTGTTTGCTTTGTTAGCTCTCTGTAAAGCTTTGTGATCAGTTTGTGTTATCATTAGTATTGTGTGCAAAAATTGTCTCTCAACCAGTGAGGTTTCTGTTTTGGTTTCTCTTTTGCTATACAGAAGCTCTTTAATTTGATGTAGTTCAGCTGTTTATCTTTTTCCTTCAAGAAATGACATTTTTTTTAAAAGAAAAGAACCAAAAGGTATGAAATTAAATCTGACAAAAATGTAAAAGATCTTCCATTGAAAACTATAGAACATTCTTGAGAGACATTATAAACCTATACAGATGCGGAGGTAACTGTGTTCAGAACTCTCATATTAAGATGTTCTTTCCAAGTTCAAATATAGAGTCAGCATAGTTTTAATGAAAATCTTTGTAGGCTTTTAATTTTTTTTAGTAGAAGTAGACTGGTCTAAAATTTACATGGAAATAAAAAGGACCTACAGAATGGCAGAAACAGCTTTGGGAAAGAGTAGAATTCTAATACGAACAGAAAGGTCTAGCCACAGAACACCTGATTGTGTTTTTACTGTGGTCCAGTGAGATAATTTTGAATGGACACAATTCTGTATTCATCAACAGACATTAAATTATGCTCAGCATTGCAGTACCAATTCCTGAATTAACAGTGGAAATAATCTTATTTTTCCCAGTATTAGCTATTATTACACTAAAAAGTAAGCAAATTATATATACATATATATACACACACACCCACACATATATTTTTTTCCAACAAGTCATATCATTGTGTGTTGTTAGTGAAAAAAGGGTTTTATATCATTTATATTAAGATGCTATAAAATGTTGGATTGTCAGAAAAGTTATGATTTTTTTCCTATGTATATGAATTTTCCAACAACTCATTAGCATGAGTTGGGAAGAAAATAAGATGAATAGAACATCATTATTCTGTAAATGTTCTTTAATTGGACTTAGTAGCGGCCTAAGTTATGAAACTCTGAGGAATGAAACTCTTGACCTTTTTATTGCCCCCTTTCCAAAGACGTCAAACAAAAGGTAATTATAGAATAAGTCAGTCTAAATTTTAGATGGTTCAGTTAACAGAAAACTTTAGAGAACAAGTTGTCCACAAATCATTCTGGTGTTATTTGGTATTGCATTTTCTTTTTTTTTTTTAAATGTGGGTAAGCGAATGTTAATTAATCACTTTTTGTTGATGTTGAAGGAAATGAAACTGTAGTAGATCTTTTGATTTTTTTGGATATCTGAGTGTAATAGGAGATTCTTAAATGCTTAAGCGATATTGTAGACAAAATGATGTGAAATAAGTAATTCAAGTCAGTTTAAACACGTAGTTATTCTAGAACCTGATGACACTGCTCGTCTCAGCTATCACCAATATTTCTCGGAAAATTTTGTAGTCAGTTGTTAGAATGTAGATCCTCTTGTTGCCAATTCCCATTGTTTCTTCTTCCAAAATCAAGTTTGTATTGATATTCACTCCCTACAACTATTGCCATAACTTTTGAATTGTAACAGACCTATCTCATCTCATGAAGAAGGGCTGTGAAACCCTTTCAACCATTTCCCCTCTTGGGCTCTGTTCCATCTGTGAGTGAACTGAACCACCTTTCTTTTGGAAACTGGACACTATTAAAAAAATTAAGCATTGCATTCATTGATCGCTGTTATTATTAAGTTCATGTAGAATTAGGTTTTAAGGTAGGCAAATAGTTGGAGGTAAGGTAAGAAAACTAACGTTTGGGCCTCACTGGTGGTCCAGAGGTTAAAAACACTAGGAAGCTACCCACAGCCACTGCAGCACAAGTTTAATCCCCAGCCAGGCAGCTGACCCACATGGTGCAGCAGACCTCTCCTGTCTTACCTGCTGCTCCCTCAACAATGTACTTCGTCGATCTGCCTGTTCTACTCCCCACTCTGTTTCCAGTGAATCCTCTTGCTGCCCTTTCACCTCTGGCTGTACCCCATTTCTGTATGCATAAATAAACAAATCTTTAAAAAAAAAAAAGTTAGCCTTTACGGGCCCTCCCTGGTGGCATAACGGGTTAAGGCCACTGCGTTATGAAGCTCTTGGAAGCCACTGCAACACGAGTTCCATCCCCAGCCAGGGAGTTCACCACATGGTGTGGCAGACTTCTTCTGACCTGCCCACTGCTCCCCTCAGCAGTGTACTTTGTCAGTCTGCCTGTTCTGCTCTCCACTCTGTCTCTAGTGAATCCTCTCATTGCCCCTGCACCTCTAGCCTGTACCCTAGTTCTGTAAGCATAAATAAGTAAATATGTATTTTTAAAGATTTATTTAAGCGGCTGCAGTTAGCTAGCAGTGCTGCATCCCGTTGTGCCACCAGGGAGGGCCCAATAAGTAAATATTTTTTAAAAATTAACTTTTATTAATTTGAAATCATTTTTCCATTTTAAGCAGAATAGAACATTTCTCTTAAGCTAGTGGGCTCTGTCCCTAGAAATTTTTAGAATGTATGTAATTTAATCTAATCCGATCTAATCTGTTTTTTCCTGCTCTTCCCCTTCTCCCAAAGCACAGATCTCAAGAGTGGGCATTGCTTTACCCTAGTAGCCACTATTAATGAAAAAGATACTAAATTCCAAAAGATGAAATGCTCCAGTTGCAGTAATGCTGTCCTCAAAATGAGTTGTGAAGTGTTCTGTTTTCTACTTGCTTATATGTTAAATAGTGCCCTTTACCCACAAATACAGTTTGAAATTCTAACTCCATTACCTCAGAATTTGACATGATCTGCAAAAAACGGTTATTTACAGATATAATGTTAAGAGGAAGAAATACTCAATTATGGTGGGTCTTAATGCAACCTGACAGTAGCTTTATAGTGACATAAATGTATAAGGGGAGAATGCCATGTGAAAACAGAAGCAGAGACAAGTGCTACAGTTGCAAACCAAGGAATAGTACAGATTATAGCAAACCGTCAGAAAATAGAAAAAGTCAAGGAAGGTTTCTTTCCTTTAGATTTCAGAACTAGCCCAGCTCACAGATTGAATTAGATTTCTAGATTTCTGAATTAGAATTCAGAATTGTAAGACAATAAATATTGTTGTTTAAGTCATCTAGTTTCTGGGACATCCTTAAGCTAGTATAGATTTATATCACTTTTTTCAAGTTTGATAGAATTCATACAGTTTTCTTGGTGGAAAAATTTTTAAAAACGAATTCATTTTCTTTAATATATACATAGGGTTATATAGATTTTTCCTTTTTTTTTCCTTGTATCTATTTTGATAATTTGTGAATTTCAAGGAATTTCTTCATTTCATCTAGGCTTTACATGCCAGTAGTTCTGAGGTTGAATACCCTTTCTAAGGTTTACAGTATATACCTTATACTTTCAAATAATATTATATCACTTCATGTTTAACATAAACAAGTTACAAGATATTTCAATTCATCCCTTTCCATCCTTTGTGCTACATGGACATGTATTTGATTTCTATTTATATTATGAACACCATTATTGTTGATTTTGCTTTAAAAAAAATCTGGAACTCGTAGGTATATATATAGGCATGATGCATGGTACATAGGAATCTCCTTATGCAGCTTCAGCTGTTCTGACTTCAGGATGCACTGCTGTGTGCAGATTAAGGAGATTCCCTGCTCCAGCCCTTCCCAGCCACATGGTGGCAGCTCTGTAGACATATTGCCTGCCACACTCCCTGGACCAGGCGGAGTCAAAACGCAGAGTCCCAGGGGACCACTGATGAGTATTGTACTTGCTTATGATGTCTTCTCCTACTAGTAGTTCAGATATTGATTTTAAATAAATCTGATCTTTTACTCAAGCAATTTGGAAGGTATTTCTTAGGATCTTTGTACCTGTTATTTGACCATAGTAAAAATCCATGACATCATATATTTTACATAATTTGCACATTTCATTCACTCAGGATGTTCTTCCTTCCAATTAGGCTAAAGTTATTTTCACTTTCTGCATCACAGTCATGCACACTAGCTATATAATATTTAAAGTAACAAATTTTCATATGAAGAAAATCTTAAGACATAATTAACAGTTTTGGGTGGTAGGGTTTGTAATCAGTAGCAAAAACATTTCTTTCCATTGAATCTAATTACCTTAGAGTATTCAGTAATGATAAGTACATTAAAGGTTGCACTTATTAAAATGTTCTTTTCTGTCTTAGCAAGAGGAATCGGCTGAACTTGGTAGACACTGACTATTCTTAGAAGTTGGTTCACTGCTGTTTGGGGTCCTTAGCAGCAGTACTCGACGTCTGTTTTAAATATCTCCTGGTGTTGTTGCTCTTCTCCTCAGTGGGCCTTTGGAGTGACACTGTGGGAACTCATGACTCTGGGCCAAACGCCCTATGTGGACATCGACCCCTTTGAGATGGCTGCGTACCTGAAAGATGGTTACCGAATAGCCCAGCCAATCAATTGTCCTGATGAGTTGTAAGTTTTCCTGAGCTGGATGAAATGGGTTCATTTACAGTAATGGGATTTAAAAAAAAAAAAAAAAGCAGGTGTCCGTATTCATATAGAGACTTCACTTTTGAGAATAATGACTCTTCAGATTTGAATTAGATGCTTACAGAGAACCACAGCCAACCAGACTCATTCACTCTTAATGTATTTGACATTAATACTTTTGCAGCTGTAGTTGTAGTGTTTAATCCAAGAGACATTAATGTACATAGTGAGAAAACACTGAATACTATGTCAGTGACTCAAAATAGAGTGAGGACCTGACTTATACCACCTTAGGGATACACCCTTAGTTATAACAGACCTTTCTCACTGTCATCTTGCTTGATACAGTTGGTGTCAATTGACATATAAGATGCTCTGAGATAGTGAGTGAGATAGTTCCTATTACTGTCACATGGTTAATCTTTCTATATAGTGGAGTGGGTAGGAAGCTGTTCGGGAGTGTGATCGTGCCATTAGTTCTGTAACCCACTGACAATTTCTATACTCTGGTGAGGTGGCAGCTTTTGCACTGATTTTATTATAGATCCAGCATTTTTTACAGCTTCATCTTCTCTCAGACCTTAAGTGTAGAAAAACACAGGTTATTACTTTGTGAATTTGCATGAATTCTTTCTATTTGCTGATAGGTTTTGATATCCTCTCCTGGGAAATAGAAATCCATGCAAAAGTTTGGTAACTTGTTTAGCTTCTTTTTTCTTTTTTATTTTAGAACTGCCACCAGATAGTATTAATAATATCGATTGGTTTTTAGTATGTTATCCTCTCCATGCCCGCATTGGGACAGAAACTGTCATCAAATTGACTAAAAGCACTTATCACTAGTCAAATTTTCCATTTTGTCATCTGCAGATTTGCTGTAATGGCTTGTTGCTGGGCCTTAGATCCAGAGGAGAGACCCAAGTTCCAGCAGCTGGTACAGTGCCTCACAGAGTTCCACGCAGCCCTGGGGGCTTATGTCTGACTCTCCTCTCACAGTCGCAACATCAGAAGGAAGGTGCCTGCCCGGCTCCTTGGAGCCCGTCACCACTGCTTCGTGCGCCATGCCAAGCCAGCAGAAGCATATTTGTCTTCCAGAACACTGTGCCTTAGGAATGCTTTAGAATCTGAACTTTTAAAAACAGACTTAATGTGGAGTATTTTCTAGATATCACTTTTATTAGGTTGAACTGAAAAAGGTTTTGTAAATTTCTTGCCCAAAAAATTTTTCAAATATAGTTACTTTGGACTAGGGGTACATTATTACAAAATAAATTAACAGGTTTTTAAATTGTTTAAACAAATATTTTGAATAGCTATCTTAGTGCCGACTGCTTTTTATTTTTGATTTTTTTCACATTTATCACCAGTTTTGGGAAATGGTTTGTTTTCAAAGATTCAGTAATTTTCTTAACAAAACAGCATAAAAAGATGTTTGGCTTGCCTTACAAAAAGCAGTATTTGGAAAAGATGAATTAGAGAACAAAATGGAAACTAAAAGAAAGTTAATTAGGAACAAACTGCCCTTTCATGGAACATTGTTTAACTTTTTCAATGTAAAGGGGTTCTGCTTTCTTACTTTAGGGGAAGAGGAGCTGAGTTTATTGAAACATCTTAAATTTGTCATAAATTAACTTTTCCATGAACCAGAAGCAGGCTTGGGGCAGGTCAGTAGTACACAATGCGATTCTATTTATTTTTACTCTCTGGGGAAGGGATAATACAATTCCAGAAAGTAAAATTATGTTTCTAAGGTTAAAAAACCCTTATATTGCACCTAGAATAGTGCTGTGCACAAAGTGGTGCTTGAGTTATGTGGGTAAAACAAAATGTAAACTGGTAAATTTTGTGCATATCTTCAAGGCTGGCATAAATATGAAATTTTTTTTAAACACTTGAAAAATTAAAGGATTTGTTTTATATTATGTCCATATTGAAAATACTGTTTATAAGGATTGGTTGATCGTGTCTGGTAAGCCTCTGAACATGCAACAGCAAGTTCTCCTTGTTTTATCCCCTGGTGTTTCACTCAGGCTTCTAAGCCATAACACAATTGCTGCTGTGTCCACTCAATCTTCAGGTTCTAATAAAAAGTTGGGCATATTACTATAAGGAAGTACTACGACACTGAGACTTGTCTCCAGACCATAAATTAGGGGTCTGCATGTATTCATGCTTGGTGTTAGTTAGCCTCAGGCAGAGGTGAACGGCCCCCTGCATAACTAGACCTGCATCTGCCTGTCTCTCTGCTCCTGTCCTCACGGGTATATAAGGGAGACTGTAGCAGTTGGAGACTCTTGTTGTTCTTAAAGAAGCTTTATGGATCAGCAGTGCATCTGGAAAAACAACTCACATAGTAAATGCTGTCCCACTAGCAGGCCAAGAGCTTGGTTTTCCTGTATACCATTGGTTGCACTAGTGAAACACTCAGCTTCCTCAACGGCCAGGTTTTTAAAAGCTCTTTAAACTGTTCTGTCTGTGAAAGCTATTTTGTGCACAGTCTACATTCTGAAAGGTATTCCCGTTCACAAGAATTTATTTAGCACTTTGTGTTCTGTGCACAGGGTGATTCAACCCTAGCATTTCTTCCATTATACAGTGCATTTTATTATATGTCAGGTGAGTGCATTACTTAGAAATGACAGTTCTAACAAGATCAATTCAAAAGAAAAAGCAATGACATCTCACTTTTATCCCAAATTAGCAAATACTGAGAGTTGTTTCCAATTTGTTGGGATGTTTGATGCCTTTTAATCTTATTATTTTGTGTTTGCAAACTGTCTTATTGTGTGATTTGGGGGGGGGGGTCTTAATAGGAAGTTTAAAAGCATAAGTATGTGTTTTATTGCTGAGCTAGTGATAGTTATTAACACAGAAAGAAGAGAGCAGTTATCAGATTTTCATGACTGGTCTTCTTTCAGTGTTTTCCTTATAGATTGTGAATATTACTATATAAACTTTGTAGACTTTGCTTCTTTCATAGTAAAGAAGCAAAATTAGCAACACACTAATGGTATAGAAGCTGGTCCTAGTGACCTAGAGCTCTATTATATTCTAATCTTTCTTATAACAGCCCGTTGTAAGGAAACTTTATTTGTACTAGAATTGGCTGGTTATTTATTTCAGTGCCCACTGTATGCCTGACTCTCAGGACATGCAGTAAATGACAGAGGAGGTTCCTCCCTTTCTCATTCGTACAGTCCTAAGATTTTGGTAAGTTCTATAAAAAAAAAAAAAAAGTAGAGTGTATCCTAATGAAAATATTTTTTAGATGTGATATTAACCTAGACACTGAGCTGAAATCTAAATGACAAGAAGCCATCTGTGACACAATCCAGGCAGAAATGACACAACTGCAGAGACCTTACTGTAGACACATGCTGGCCCTTACTGTAGACACATGCTGGCCTCCAGTCTGGCTCTCCACATTTATCTTTCAGTTGCTGGTGTTGAAGAAGAGAACAGAGACTAGAATGTAGTTAGAGAGGAGCTGGTGCCAAGGAGGTCTGGGAGATGCAAGAACAGACCAGCGGCCTTGGCAGTCAAATGATTTGTCACTTAAAAAAGATTATGCCAACTCTTTTTTTGAAGAGTGAGTTTTTAAGAAGTAATGACTCTAAAACTGTTGCATAATTTAGGAAAGGAAAGCTAGTAATTTTAGGCCAATTTGGGAGTGTGGGAGATTGCAAGGGGCAGATTGGAGGCATACTTTGAAGGTAATAGAGAGTGCCTGTGTCCTGTTATATGTTGAAGGGTGGGGAAGGGAAGGAAAGATCAGTGGTGACTAGTTGGGTTGAGGCTTGGTCATCTGATTGTATGGCCAGATGACATGCTCAGGTGGGAGAAATCCTTTTTGCTTTGTCAGGGTGGATCAGTAATTAATTTTAGGTGTTGGTCATCTAAGGAGATTTTTGAGTGGATAAGTAAGAATCTGTAGTTTAAGGAAAAGTCCTCATTGGTTATATATTTTAGGATCTAATGCACAGACTATATTTAAGCCCTGGAATTGGAGGAATTGGCTTTGGGAGAGAGTACAAATGGAGGAAGAAATCCTCGAGTTGAGTCCTGAGGACTGTATTTGGTGGTGCAGGGAAGGAAGAGTAGAACCAAAAAGACCAAGAAGAAACCACTATGTGGTTGGATACAGCAACAATAAAAACAGGAAAATGAGGTGTCACAGAAGCTCAGGGAAGAAAATGCTTCAACATGGAGAAAGAAGCCTCTGTGGGATTTCTTTCTTATGGAAGTTTGCTGACATAAGCAGTGGAATTTGGAGCAAGATGAAATTGATATACATGGTGGGTAAGTGGGGACCCTCCTGGGTTGGCACTGTTGAAAGTTCCCCTGTGAAGGGAAATGGAAGAAGTAACTAGATCTCCAGGAGATCAAAGAAGTATTTTGGGACGAGGGTAGTGGAAACAGGAAGGAGAACCTGTTTGTTTTCCAGATGATGATATAGTACCAGAAAATTCTCACAGGCTCATGTGAATGAGAGAGAAATTCCTTTGCAGGGTCTCTGGCCATTTGGGCCACAACCACAAAAGCCTCCCCCTCCTATGCCCAGTCCCTTTGTTTTGTTTTAATAACAAAGTTTATTTTTACATCATTTTGTGCCTTTTACCATCTCAGTTGTAATACCTGTGGGCTTCCCATCACCAGTTCACCCGTTTGCCATCACCATAGTCCAGTGCACTTCATCCCTCCTCCCCCTACTTTTTACTTCATTCCCCACTCCACCCTGTAAAATGTCTCTGGTAAGTAGTTGTTCATTATTATTATTTTCTCCGCTGGTCCGAAAAGATTTTGTTTTTAATTGGTGAAAATAATATGAGTATGATGGGAGGTGGTGCATGAACCTTTGAATATTCCTGTCATATGAACATCTGCCTCAGCTGAGTTTCACGTCCTTGGGAGTTCAGATCACTTGTCTTGTTCTCCACCATCTTCTTTTGCCCTGTTGCCTCCTTAAATGCCTACACAACCCCTGGAGCTCAATGCATCCATCTAGCCTCTGGATGGATGCCTCGTGTGGGACTTTCCATCACATTTAGAACTTGGTACGTGAAAGAGCTGAATATATAAGGAATTGATGAGTAAAAGTCTCTAAATTTGCCCAATGGAGTACTTCTAGAGGATTTTAAAAATCTGCTAATTCGCTAAAAAGCATTATGTCATATTTGAAATACTGTGTTTTTTGTATCACTAATGTGATACTTATATTCAGATTTGAAATTTTTAGGTAATACAAGCCAATAAAGCATGAAAGAGACAGATTAGTAGGGTGGCCCTTATCCCCACTTGCTGTGAACCTGAGTACCCTCCCCAACACCCATTGATCTTTTGCCTTACTTTCCTTGCCTCTTCTTTGGTCACAGAAATAACTAGCCCAGGTGCAAATTCTGTTTTGTACTCCCACAATGAACATCTCATGTGGACATATTCATGAAAATAATTGCCCCAAATGCAGTCATTCATGACTTTAGGGGAAGATTGTTTTCCAATTCCCATGTCCCAGACCCCCACCTTATACAATAAAAGGGGTGATACAATTTACTGGACTAGGAAAATAAAATGTAAATGCTTGTTTCTAATTTTTGTTTCTATAATCATTTTTCTCCTTGTGTTTCAGGACAACAGTGAGCCTCACTCTCTGGGGTCCATGTGTAAGTGTGTTGAGTACTTCCATTTTATATATTAGTAAATGAGCCGTGGGCCTCCATTTTATTTCTAAGAGATACTATTCTCTGTGTGGATATACATGTATTCATTCATCAGTTTATGCATTCTTGAGGAAACTTGAGTTTTTAGTTGAGTACATCTTACCCTCAATGAATCTGAGCTTCCTTGGTAAGGAAGCAAGGATGGCTATTAGTGGGCACCTAGGAACTATACAAAAGCAGGGCAAGGGACTGGTGTCTGACCTCCTGTAATCCTGTCAGATATAAAAGGATAGTAAGTCATTGGGGAGGCTTAGGGAGTGCCCAGTCAGCTCGTTTTTAGTGAGTACTGTCATTACTTGGGGGAGAAAAGACCTATAGAGCTCATTTCCTAATCTTTTCATCTCTAAGTCTATACCCAGAAAACTCTACTGTTCTCCTGGGATTGTTGTTACTTTGGCCTCTGGCCTTACTGTTTTTCACCAGACCATAATTCTGCCAACACTTTATTGATTGGGACTTATAAGGATATTTGTGTTTCCCTTAGTGTTTGACCTACAATATCTTGCACCAGCTATCTTTTGTCTAGTTTCATGGTTTACCTTCCTGGGAATATACCAGAGATTGACTATATGTTGCTATAAAAATTATTTTTATAAAGAGCTTAAGCATACATTTAATATCACATGAACTATATTTTATGTGCCTTTTATTTTAGACATTTCATTCATTTAAAGGTCAGTTATTTTTAAATGGAAACTTAGGTCACAACATTACTAAATATACTCTAAATAACACCTTGTCTGTATTACCCAGAGACAGGATACCCTGAGACTCTGGTAGAATTTAGGAGGAATTGATCATAGGTCCTAGCTCTAGAAAAGCATTAGACTTAATATTCTGAATCAACTTTGCTCACATCAGAATGAGTTGACTTGACAATAATCTGCTATCAGGAAGTGCAGTGTCTTGATAATCCTGTGTTAAAATCTTACGTTGAAGCTGATGGCAGCAACTCTATGGCCTTTGCTGTTTTGTTTCCCCCATGAAAGTCCATAGTTCACTTAACTGAAAGGAGGACAGCTTTATTTGACCTGATAGACATTCTTGGTCAGTTAAGCAGACTCTTGTCTTGTGAGAAGGACTCTCTAGGATCTTCCTTATTTCTTCTGGCAAAGCAGGAGAAGGAAGAGGCAGGAGGCTGTAACTTAGCCCGGCTATGCATTCCTGAAATCAGACTGTTACTCTGAGGCTGTCCCCATCTCGCCTTCCTCCCTGGCCATTTTGGGCCTCTTTCCCATCTTTAGCATCCCTTTTCTAGTCTCACCATCTGGCCTGACATGACCGTTCAAGTACACTTAGACAATGTGATACCATTTAACAGGATATAAAAAGGATGCATCTCTCCCACAGCTAACTTAACATAATGACATTTTTTAGTG